CCCGTTCGTTAATATGCGAAAAACACATTTCGCTAATTTTTGGAAATCAGTTTTGAAAATGAAACTTTCAAGGCATTACCAAGGCATATTCAAGAAGGTAGAAGGGATTTCAGCATCCTTTGGGACCGCGCCTATGCTGTTAAAAATATGGAAAAAACATTTAACATCTGCTGTTAGAAGTATAAGAAATTTCAAGTAACGGACTACTAAATATATACCTACGGTGAAGCTGACACCTAAAGTGAAGCTCTTTTCCTAACAAAAACCATATAAATCCAAATTTCCGACATTGTGCAAAAAAGTATAAAAATTAATACTGCAATGTTTCACCAAAATTTCAAACTTTTTAATTAGAATATTTAGAAAAAGAATTTGGCTTGCAGTTTTGTAGCTCATTAGAATTTAGTAGGTATAATAAAGTGCAAGTGGAAAGTGCTGCTCATTTGCTTCTCCGTTAAAAAAATGGCCGAACATAGATACTTACTTTTTAGGAAAAACTGCGAAACACCGTCAACAAAAAAATGCCAAAAAAGTCTCAGCAATATCAAAATTACACGTTATTATACTAAAATTGAACGAATTTTTTTAACAAATTTTGCAAATTCTTTTTACAAATTTGAGATGTTCCTATAAGGATGATGTTTTAGGGCTAATACTTCTAGGATCTTAGGCTTTAAGATCTGTAAGTTTTTGCGGAAAAAAATTGCAAAATTATTTTTTGTCCCTTATTCGGCTCCCATAAATATGGTCACCCTACAACACCCTACACCCTACTGGTGGATTATAAAAGCATTACTATTGAAGTCATACAGTGAGGTCTGAGCGATTGTCTTCGTTGGTATTTCCTTATGCCCTAAAATGATTCATTTTCCAATGTGGCCAGCCCTCGAAAGGTGTCCCAACGAAATCTCATGCCCCTATGTAGTTGAAGGATGTGCCCACAGAGATTTGGACGTATATAGGTTTGAGAGAAGTACAACAATAGTCACATGCCCAATGACATTTCAGGCAGACATTTTCGGAATTGTAATATGTGCTGGCGAATATCTAAGAATGACTAATATCATTCCACTATTAACATCATGTCATTCATTCCGATAGTATTGAGTCATGTAAATAGGTGTCGAGGCTGGTAGACGGTTGCATAAGTGGAAGGAATCGCTAATAAGGTTAACACGTTGTTGGTTCAAAGACATGTGGGCAACGAAATGGCTGACACCCTCCCTAAATGCCGAGCCCAACGGAGCCTATATGGCCATTGGCCTTTCTGTGCTCCATTCAAGGGATCCATGGCATATAGTTTAAGCAGATAGGAGGAATTTCAGGTAGCAGTCCCTTTCCTTACATCAAAGAGTAAACGGCTTCAAAAGATTTATAACTCTCTCTCGTGGAGTGTCTAAACGTCTGCTTAACCTTGAACTATCATTAGATAGCTGATAGGATATTGGAAGATAAGGAGACTTTTGCAGCTTTTTTGGAAACCCACTGAGTATATTGCTCACGTATAGTAGCCTTGGACTTATATGACTTCGGAACGAATATTGTCTCCATCCAGAAACTGAACCATCACATTCTCCGAAGTGGTTAACTTCATCAACCGCCTAAGAGTGGAGTGGCTTCTTAAAGGGAAAGGATTACTCCTTTAAGAAATCATTTGTTCGACAGTCTATTTATCTACTCCTTAACTCGCTTAAATTAACACACTAAACGCTCCTCATCAATTGTGTTACCAACAGTCTTAAGCTCTCTTACGTCTCAGCAAAACCATGGCATTTCTTAAGAAAATTTCCTGACATGTTCTTCGCCTGATTGCTTTGGCTTAAGCGACTACTAGCGGCGCTTGTCATTCACACCACTGTCTGCATAAGTCATCGAGCAAATGCAATTAATTCTAAAAATCTAAGCTGTGCCGTTACTTCCACGTATGTACTTACCAAAGTCAACGTCTAAACAAACTTCCTTGCGAATATTGCGACAATCCTTGGCTCAATATGTCACAACTACAACTCGGAGTTGTTTAATTTGAAGGAGTTTCGTTCGGATGTGACTCGTAGCTAATAAATTAAATTGAATATTTATTTGCCTAAAATGTAATGAATTGAGCGGTGGCAATGCCGGTGGTCCTGTGTTCGCCACCGCCAGCCAGCCAGCCATCACAAATACGACAGCCACGTACTCGTACGCTGCAGCAGCGTCATCCAAGCACTGCGCTGCCGGTGTCATTTGTTCGATATTTGCAAAAGCGTTGCAACGACTTCAACGGCAAAAGTAGGAGGAATGTAAAGTCGACAAACAGAGGGAGAGAGAGAGTGGTAAGATTGCGACGGCGACGACGACGGCGACGATTGCAGGCTCATGTTTGTTAGGTGGTTGAAGCTGCAGCCGCCATATGAGGGCGGAGCGGGCGGAGCTCGTTCATTAAGTGCTGCTCGTAAGTAAGCTCGCAAGCGCAAATAAATTATTGTACTCGCTTGTCATGTACGAAAAATCCATGTGTCAAGTCGCTTTGGGCAAAACTCATCTGCTGCTGGCGAGGAGGCAGGCGACTTGAAGGCGGTCCGACAGCAAATTCTTGCCACAGTTGCACATTCGCACCATTACAGCGACAACAAAAACGTTGTGTGACAACAACACAAACGTTATACGAGTAACATATACTCGTGTACTCGTGTGTAGTAACTCTGTAATCATTTTCAAGTGCAAGCAGCAAATATAGAAATTAAGCCAAATAAACTTGAGGCGGGCCAAAGACGTCGAAATGACAAATGCAGTAGGAAATTCAATTGCACGCCGCGCGGGCGGCCGGGCGGTGGAGAGGCTGCGCTGAAGTGCCATTGTAAGCCTCTGAGGACACTCACAAGGAAGTTAGCTAGTTAGCAAGTGATATCGCCACAAATTGGTGGCATCCGTGCTTGGTGGCTCGTGTTTGTGTGTGTGTCACAACGAGGTCTTAAGCTTGTCTGTTTCAGTGGCACGCTGCTGCGATGCTTTGCAATTGCAAATGGCAGCAGCCATAATGACAACAAGCCCCCAAAATGTTGCCACTTTTATATTAGGTATTTGCACTTCTCTTTTCCTATTCCTTTTTTCGCAGTTGTTGCAGCTGGCAGCTGTGGTTGCTGCAGCAGCAGCAGCAATGCGCTGGTTTTCGTAATTTATGGGTCTCGATGGAGTTGCAATCCTTGCAATTAGATTTTCATTCATTCTACATTGTGTCTTTGGTGATTATTTTGTTATTGTTTTACATGTTCTTATAGAAATTCGTTATATCATGTGTATGTTTGTATGCGTGCGTAAGTCGGCTTTTGTGTGAGTACCTAATTCTCATTAAGTTATTGTTGTGGGCCATAATGACAGCTTAGCGGCTTGTGGTATTGGCAGCGATAGCTGCAGAATCTGGCAGTTGGAATTTGTTGAGCTTGCGGAAGCTGACAGCAGGCCGAGTGTTTTTTGTGAAGGACACGACAGGCTACGACAAATTGTCGCCTGTCACTTGGCTGGAAATGTGAATTTTTTTAAATAATTTAAGTGTAAAATGGAATAACGTAGACTGATTTACATATATGTACCAGAAATACAATTTGAGTACTATATTTTATGCCATTTGCAATGTTCCCAATATTTTCGAACAAATATAACAGCCTGTTGGTCCTTTGGGATTTGCTCAAGCGGCAATCACATTGAAATAATCAAAGAGTGTAAAGAGATAGGGCGTATACATTTTGTATATATGTATGTAAGCATCAAGGGCTCGAAATCAAGAAAGCTGGAAAAATGCGCCCCATCTCTGACAGGATCAGGATCATTTTACACAAGGAGCATAATAACATGCTCTAAAAGTGCTTTCTGTTTGCTTACATCCACACGGACCACGGAAAACCCAAGCCAGCTCATTGATGATATTTTGACCCTTAGAACATAACCATCCTGTACTGCTGGAGTCAATCGCTACTTTTGAACCGCTACTGCACCGACTTCTAGGTAAGTAGCTACTCTATTAACCCGTGGTAGTGCACATGGTAATGCAGAGTCGAACCAGTCGTACGCAGGATAGCGAAAAACTACGATAGAGGGCGCCCATAAATTACGCAAGTGACTAGTTTAGTAACTCCCGGTAGTGCAGAGAAAGCCGATGGTGACTACCGCCTAGGACATTACCTTCTAAAGGTAATCGATGAAATACACTGCAAGTAGTCAGTCGGTAATTCACGGAGTTTATCAGGTAGCTACCGATTCAGCATTCCTATAGTCGCTCCCCCGTACTGCAGGGAAGTAAGTCAGCCGCTGAACTAGTCGGACCAAAAACCGTCCTTAAACGCCTTTATTAATCTTTCGTCCCATGAAGATCATCGTAATAGACCTACCATCACCTCTCGCAGACGAAGAGCTCGAGTTGCCTCATGTGATCCTTAGGGTTAATGGAAGAAAATCGCTCCATTCTAACAATAAAGTCCCGAAAGCGACTAAACGATATTATGGAAAGCTTCCCGAGGGAGATGTACTACGCAAACATACAAATAAATATAAGCCTGAAATGCATCCTTTAACAATGCAATGGTAAGCTCTGAGTGTATTTCTGCAAAAAAAGCTTTCTTTTAGAAACCATTTCTCATCCGTCATCATGAAAATACATGCGAAGATAGACTAGGTGATTTAAGTCAACCAAAAAGACCATGGCGAAACTTTTCGAAATGCGGGAGTAATGAAATTAACAGAAACATATTAGGCCGTATTCTTGTTTTCGCACGAATCGAAAATCGTGAAATTTTCCTCTCATTTTCTATACAAAAATTTCAAATTTTCGATTCGTACGAAATTCAGAATATGCCGCATTATGAAGAGCCTGCTGGATCGATCCCACACATGCTGCAGTATGTGGTGATGAACGAGCTTTCTTTCACATATAAAATATTCCTAAGGATGGCTGTCTTATCCGATATGTCCCAGTCTCTAGTCTTTAGTGTGAGACTTTAAACCATGTAAACCTCCTCTTCCGCTACTACCGTACTTCGTTGGAAGTAGGTTTGAGGTTTATGCTCCTAGTGCCTCAAATCATGATACATCTCTGTCTGACTGTTTCTCAGGCTGCCTTTGATATCGTCATAATTTACACTATGACCTTAAGACATACACTGCCCTCCGCCAGCGCTCCTATTACACTTGATTTTCACTCTGTAATGCTGCTTTCCTGAACTCGACGACGGTCTATTTGAGTAAGAGCATGCGGAGCGGAGTATATCTATGGGTATCACACTGGCGATAACGAAAACTGCTTCGGTCGACACCCTTCTGAAGGCGCCGCAAACTCAGAGCGCACATAAACGGTGTGTTCAGTTGACTTCGCAGAAGTATTTTGCACACCAATGCAGTGTTTGACGAAATAGGCGCCGCAAACAGTATTTGGCTTTTACCCACACTCGCTAAGAGAAGACGGCCATGCTGCAGCGTTTCAGTCCCTGCATATTATACTGATTTCTCTATCACTTAGCTCAAGTGGGCGCGGAATGTAATACTCTTGTCTAGTACCACTCCTAAGTGTTTAAGTGTAGGTTTTGTCGAAATGATGTGATCGCCGCAATAAATTAAAATTGTGCATATCTATGTACGTCAACATACAAATTCAAAATGCTCCCCAGTTCCAGACCTGAGTGCAACTTCATATATGTATGTATGTATTCCTCTATTAATCCAACTAGAAATACATAGATTTTGCGCGACATTTGATAGCGCCATCCAGGAGGCTACCACCTTGACACCCCTCAAAGTGTTGAAGCTGATTCTTAGAGCTCATCTGCCATATTAAATACCAAATTAGCTTCTTCTGTAGTTTTACTTCGCTTTAACACGAACTTTTGTGTTTGCTCTGCTTAACTTAACACCGTTCGCACCCAAATTCTCGTAAATATTTTCCAGCCATTTGTCTAACAAGCTATTTAAATGTGGCCTAATAATATGTCCATATGTCCACTCAGACGACGACGACGACGACGACTTGGTACATTTATGCGCTAACGCATGTTGTACTAGAAAATTGCAACTTTACATAGATATGTACACAAAAAAAAAAAAAAAAAAAAAGGCAACAAAACCACTCTGCTTTGTTTTTGCTCTGCAGTCACAGTGAGAAGACTCGCTGATGCTCTTGACGCAAAAGCGTTAAAAATGTAGAGCATCACCAGCTTCTTAGAGCGAAAACAGGTCCGGTTCCGAATGGACTGGTGACCGTGTCCTCTTTGGGTAGCCACCCGTAGGTGTATGTATGTACATATGTATGTAGGTGTGGCTATGGATGTGTTGGATATTTGCACTTGGTGGTGCTTCTTGCTGCTCGCATGAAACAAATTTCATGTCCGCACGTGTTAGATAAATGTCGAAAGCATGTTCACCCCGATTTTAATGGCCATGTTCCGCAGTTTGTGATAATTTAACATATGTTCGTTCGTTCGCCTAGAAATAGGAATAGGCGTCTCGTGCAACAAACATTATACTAACGCGCTGGACATCGGACATCGGACATATCTATGCTTTATAAGTACCTAGCATTGTACGTACGTATGTAGGTATGTGTGTATGTATGTAGGTGCAGTTTAACTATGGCTACTCAATGTAATGGACACGCTAACAAGTGCAACCAAAGCTTCAAGAAGATACCAGTTGTGGAATGCGCAGGATGCAGTTGCCGCCTCAAAGCACCATACATTTGTTTGTTGCCATAAGTGTGTAGGTGTGTGTGTACATATATAAGCGCTATGCAGTCCAACTTCTTTTGCATCTCTTCGGCTATGTAAATTGTGCACAACTCATCGCGCCACTCAAGGTAAGTGTTTCCACTTGTTTGACCAGAAAACTTTTCCAAAAAACTACGAATTTCCAAAATTGCACGACAACGCGCTTACAACTTGGCCGACTTGCCCTTTTCCTTAAAGGACATTGCCTTATGTTTTGGAGCGGAAACTTGAAATTTTCTTCGTTGCTTTTCTGCCGTCGTTTGTTGTTGTTTTTCTTTCTTAAACATAAGCGTTTTGCCCCCGCTATTCCCTCGAGTGCTAGCGTGTGCGAAGATTTACACACCAAATCGAGTTCTTACAATTTAAATACTCAGCATATGAGCAAAGTATGTGTGTACATTTGTGTCGGCATGTGAATGTGTTCGCGTATAATGCTCACACATTGTTTGGCCAGCTTGTAAGCCAAGGATGTTAAAACATGTTCACCCTAACACTAAGTTGGCATTAATGTTGTTTTTACTTACCTTTTTGTTTGAGGAGCGGACAAAAGCGTGAAGAAGCAGCTGGGTAAGGACCTAGACTTAGGACATATCTGTTTAATATGTACATACATACGTGGATACACTCCCATGCACTTGAATAGGGACAATGTTTTTTATCGCTGTTTTTTTCTGAGCAATTTTTCTTTTATTTAATTTAGATTATTTCTGAATTAAAATACATTTTATTCTCTATTAAAGGACATATAAACATATAAATTTTCATCAAAGTTTTTTAGATTTTTTTTTTGAGTATGCAGTTTTGTAGCCCATTCAATTTTAGTATACAAAGCTATAAATTGCAGTTGATTTTTGGAATTTTTTTAATAAAAAAAAAGAGAGCAGGCGTTATATGGAAAAATTGCGGAAGAGCGTCAGTAAATCAAAAACCAACGGTATTTCGTATCGAATTCAAATTTGCACTTAATTGTTTTAAAATTGGCTACAAAATGCATACAAAAGAAAATTCTAAATATTCGAAAAAAATTGCATGAAAAATTTGATTTTTTTTTTTTTAGTTTTCTAAAATGTTTGAAACTTGCATTTATATATATGGTTTTTGTTATAGACTGCATTTTAATAAAAAAAAGCATTGTTCCTATTCAAATGCAGAGAAGTGTATATACCAAGTGTAAGCAAATTATGCTAAAGAACAGGGGAAAAATAGTCGTTTTCTTCCAAATTGGTGCTGATTTTAGTTAAATTTATATATTTCTGGTAAGTTTTCTGTGTATGTGTAAATTTGACCTACAAGCTAGAAAAATATCAAACTTAAGAGCGGCCTTCCCAATGACTCTAGTCCTATGGCCATCGCGACCGGTTGCTAATTCGTGACGGAGTTTGGTATAACACAAAGAAAGAAAAGTTCGCACAGACATCTCACTTTTCATCTGACGATGCTATTGTCGCAACTTGAGCCACAAACTAGGCGCGATTCAGTAGCTTCACGGCCCACTCCTTTCCATTAAGGACTAGAAGAGGTTTAAACAATTTTTCTCATCACACTACACTTACACTCACTGAAAAATGCGATGACACCAGAGGCTGTAAGCACACCCCTCCTAATTTAAACGAAAACCAGAAGCGGCGATTGGTTGGTTGGGAGTAAATTGGAAAACTCAACGGAAATAGTGCAACGGAAATGGGTGGGACGGAAACAAGTGCTTCTTGAATGTATGCTATTAAAAGGCTAAAGAATAACACTTAGAAAAAGACCAATACAAGAATGAAAAGAAAGGTGAGTACGTACATAAATAAAGAAAAGGATAAAGGCAAAGGTAACAATAAAAACAAAGATGGGTAAAGATAAAGGCAAAAACGAAGACCAAGGTAAATTTAAACTCTTCACTTATAGGGGATTTCTGAGACTTTCGGGATTCTCGGGACTTATCGACATTATAATCGACATTTTTATCAGTTTTGTTATCGATTTTGCTATCGATTATTTTTATCGGTTTTGTTCTAATCGATTTTGTTATTGATATTTTTATCGGCACTTTTATCGATTTTTTAATCACTTTTGCTACCAATATTATAGATTTTGCTATCGAAATTTTTATCGAATTTGCTTTGATTTTGATCGATTATTTGTCGCTTTTATCGTCGATAATTTATCGTTTTTGTTATCGATTGTTTACCGGTTTTGTTATAGAATATTTATTGATTTTGTTATCGATATTATTATCGATATTTTTATATTTTCTAATCGATTTTTGTTATAGATTTTTTACCGATTTTGTTATCGATATCTCTATCGATATTTTTTTATCGGGTTTCTAATCGATTTTGCTTCCGTTATTATTATAGGTTTTGCTATCGAAATCTTATACGAATTTGTCATCGATATTTTTATCGGTTTTGTTATCGATATTTTGTGGGATGTTAGTATCGATGGAGTGTAAAAATAAAAACGAAGATAAACGAAAACAGAATAACATAAGCGTAATTAGAGCGAACAGGGTACAGATCTAGATATAAAAGATAAGCAAAATCAGACGTATGTATATACATATGCACATATGTATGTATATTGGTTATGAAAAAAATAGATATGTAACATAAGTTTCACTTCTCCAGTGTGGGCCAGGCGCACTTACTTTTTTTTTTGTATGGACGACCTTAACGCTCTTGAACGCCGGTATGATTCCTGGCCAACATGGGTTCTAGCTTGGGCTATCGTCTTTAGCAACAGGTTCAAGAGATATACTATTTCAGGAACCCAAATTGGTACCAAGCACTTTGAAGTGGACATTCTCAAAACGATTTGTTGAATATTTTTGAAAAGTAGTATTAGTTTAGTTGGAGGGACACCAAATTTAGGCATTATGGAACTCACTCCCATTCCGAGTCGCACCCCTTAAAATGTGCAAGTTCTTTACTAGATCGATGAGAGCACTACGGGGCATTGGTGATCAAAAGTCAGACCAAAGTTACGCCAAAATGCATCAACGAAAAAAAACTTGAGACCTACCCTTTCATACACTGTCTATGTAGTTAGGTAGGACCATCGATTATTTTCCTCTATGACGATCCGGACTTTAGTTGTCTTCAAGAGCTCATTTTCTATCATCGTTCATAAAAGTGTCTCAGTCTTCTTCTTACTGTTGTAATGGTAGCCTAAAAGCGGTATACATGTCGACGCAAGTTTATCCTGAAATACAGAATATTTTGAATAAAATCTTATATTTATCCTAACTTAAATTTAATGCTGATTTGCTGTATCATTTGACCCCATATGAATTCAAACAATTTCCATTCATTTACGAAGGCCATCAAATCATTTCCAAGCCATTAGTGCAACAGCAATTACCTGCTAAATGTAAGGCAACAAATGCAGGAATTGCAACTCAAAGCATCTCAAACCGGAGCTCAACTCTCACCAAACAATACATATTTATATATATCTTTCCTGGTTTTGTCATTTCAAAATAGACCGTTAAATGGTTAAGCCTTTATCCTTGCTCCGTTAATTATGCAGAGGACCTATTTGACCCCTTCAGACGACATTTGACCGGTAAACAAAACAGAAAAGCCAATTGAAAATATTAGGAAAATGCATCGCAAATTCTAATGCTGGGACGACAACAACAACAAACAGACAACAGCAATGGGAGCTCCATCGGCCGTGAAGTTTGTAGCACAGATGCCGTGTTGGGCGAGTGCACTCGATGCAAGTAAGTAATTTTTACAATTCGACAATTGGAACCAATTGCCGGCAATGACTGCAGCAACTGCCACCGTATATGCAATTGCAACAGCAACGCCTGCCAGCCAAGCTGCCTGCCTGCCTGCCTGCCTGCTTGCTGCCACTGCATTATGCAAAAGTCATAAAATAAATTCGAAAATTGGGCGAAAAATTTGTTTCACTCTCCATCCATCCACTGCAACAACAAACAACACTTTGTCACAGCTGTACCGCTGAGGTGTAGGACGTGTGTGAGTGCTGCAAATAAATGCCTTCGATTTCGATGTGCAGCAATGCCAGCTGCAATGGTAAATTGGCTGTTGCATGGTCGCCAAGTGGAGACTTGTGTAATTTGCACCACAGTCAGGCACTTCAAATGCTCTCAAAAACAAAAAATATGCAAGCAAAAGATGGCCGTGGGGGCGGGGGGGGGAGAAAGTGCAGTTATGTGTGTGTTGGCATTGGCGTTAGTGCATCCGTAAAGCCTTTTTGTACATTTTATCCGCAAAGTGGAAAATGTCAACATTAATTTGGTGTTTTGTTTTGTGTGCGAATTGTGCGCAGCCACAGAGCTACAGTGCCACACAGCACCACAACGGCCGCAGCCATGGCCACAATTTTAAATTAACCCCCAAAACATGTTTAGGGGTTTTCCGCACAATTGCATTCGTGCCAGAGGGCCGTCGTGCAGCGATGGTGGGTGGGGGGTGGGGGGAGGGATGCAATGCACCTGCCACAAACTGCAGCAGTCGTAGCATAGCAGTGAGTGCCAAAGCATTCACCCTTCCCTCCTCCCGCCTTGCCGTTTGGTAATTAAACAATTCGTGCCGCACTGGCCAGCATTAATGCTTTTTTTAGCCGTTCGGCACAATTGACTGCCGGCTGCATTGCTCTGCACCGCTCTCCAACGCTCAGCAGGTGGGTGGGGATTTTGGATTTGTTTGCTAATTGAATTTCGTAGCGCACACACAAACATACACAAATGCGTGCACTGTCAAAGCTGCCTGTAGCTATGCATGTATGTATGTATGTGTGTAGCTATGTGTGGCAGCTGTGTGCATTGCTGCAAGGTGCATTGAATGAGTGTGCCACATTTAGTGCAATGCTTTGCGCCTTTTTCCACATTTTCCACAGTTGTGCTGCACTTATCGAATATTTATTGACAATTGCTTGTGCAACACTTGTTTATGCATGCGCTGGTGCCATGTGGCATACGTAAATAATACACACAAACATAGCCACATGCATATTTTTGGTAAGTGAAAGAGACAAGTATGTATGCATGTTGTATGTGTGTAGGTGGAGCTGCAGGCGTTGGCGGTGCCAAATGCAACACAATAAAATATTGACCAATCTGGGTGGAGTGGCATGAAACAAGTGAATGGTATTAAAATTTAAGTGACCTTTCTTGAAAAATTATCAGAAGAAATGTTTAGTTTGTTGCGCTCATTGACCACTTTCACACCTAAGAGTATATTTCACTTTAAGTTTTTGACGTAGAATACGTCTTACCTTAAGGTATGGGGGCTATGTTCAAATGTTGTAGTTGTAATTTTTAGAGCTTCACAAAAACGCTTATTGCACGAGAACTAATAAAGCGATTTCAAAGAAAAGTGTGGCGTTTCAAAGATAAAATTCCAAACCTGTCGACAGATTCANGATTTTGTTATCGATTTTGTAATCGATTTTTCGATAGATTTTGTAATCGATTTTTTATCGATTTTGTAATCGATTTAGTTAACGATTTTGTTATCGATATTTTTATCGATTTTGTTATCGATTTTATTATCGCTTTTGTTATCGATATTTTTTTCTTAGTTTGTGCTTTCGTTTTTGACTTGGATATGCTCTTAACCATACCACGTATTCTACGTTTAAATTTAGCGGGTGTATCTCCGATACAGCCTGCAGACCAAGACGAAGGCGCTGGACTGTTCCTTTTTTTTTTTGTAATAGATTTAAAATTAAATATTCAAGGTATTAATGCTTTTTTAATTTAAATAGTAAATAAACTATCATAAACACCTTGCTACCGAGTGCAGGATTTAGTTTGGAAGTAAAGTTAAATTTGCATATTTGTATTAGTCGCAAAAGTTATCGTAATCAAACTCGTATATTGGCACGGTAATCATGATTATAATCGTAACCGATATCGCAGACATAAACGTAATCCTAATCGGATTTGTATCAGAAACATAATCATAATCATAATCCAAGTCATAATCACATTCATAATCACTATCACAATCATAATCGTAATCATAATCGTAAGCATAATTGTAATAATAACCGTAATCTTAATCATAATCATAATCGAAATCATTATTACAGTCTTAATAAAAATTTTAATCACATTCATAATTATAATCGAAAACATAATCATAATAATAATCGTAATCATAATTCATAATCACAATTCGTTACAATCGCAATCATAATCTTAACCACAATAATCATAATCATACTCGTAAACATAATCATAGTCGTAATTACAATCATAATCCCAACCATAGCATAATCATAATCGTAATTATAATCATAATCATAGTCATAACTATAATCATAATCAAAATTTTAACTTTAATCATAATCACAACCATTTCATAATCATAATCCTAATCATAATCCTAATCATAATCCTAATCCTAATCATAAACATAATCATAATCAAAACCATTATAATAATCATAGCGATAATCGTCACACATGTCAATCACAATAATAATCTTAATACTCTCAATCTTAATCAAAGTCATAATCATAACCTTAATCTTAACCAAAATAATAATCATAATCGTAATCATAATCATAATCACAATTACAATAATCGTAATCGATAATAAAAAAATCGAATTTTCGCCTGTGTCCATCTCTAAGGAAATGTCTTTAATCGATTAGTCTTTTTTATTAATTTACATAGCCTAATATGTAACAAGACCGATTTGTATTGCATAAAATCTCGAATTCGGAGCAATTCCAATTCATTTGGTTTATGTATATGCAATTCGTTGTGGTCCGGCCGTTGATGCTGTGCCAGCTGATGCACCCGCTTCAGTCATGCAGCACATTTTGTTGCATTGCGACGCTTTCATTGGTTCCATTGTCCATGCGACGCGACGCGAGTTGTCTCACCGCGTTGCACTGCACTGCGTTACGCTTTTTCTAACCGCTTCAGCGTGCGTAACATGACAACAAAATGGCCAAAACAACAAACCGCTATAATTTACCATATTTTATGACCGCGCTACAGCAATAAAATCGCCAACAAGCGTTATAACTCATTTGAAAAGCGGTCTGCCACGCGGCGTTGTTGCACTGCTGTGCATTGATGTGGCAGTAGGAGCCTACCGACCAACCGACCAACCAACCAAGCAACCAATAGTACGCGCGTGTAAATGTGTATTTACATTTATACATAACTACACTCAAATAGCCATGTATGCAGATGAAAATTTACGTTTTCGTGTATAGCACTCACAGCTGTGTGTGTGTGTGTGTGTGAGTGCGCTGCATGCCACACATTCATTGCTGCTGAGCTCGTGTTGGCGGCAGTAATTTGTAGCTACGTTGCAGTATCTTAAATGCATTGTGTAGCTGCAACACAATGCCCCCTGTCGCCCCCCTCAATGCATCATATGAAGTGGATTTAATGGATAATGCTTTCGTTGTGTAGTTGCATTCAAATTGTTTGGCACGGCGAGGTGGTTGGATGACTCCCCGTACGAAGCGCAGTGCAGTCGCACTCGTTCCTGGTGGAACCAACTGCGGTCCAAAATCAAATTAACGATTCGCTTGCTTTATTTGCTTCCTTTTTTTTTTGATGCATAGTACTGTTCATATGTATGTTTGTATATTCTGAGTATTGTGATATCACTCTTCGTGCTAAAGAGGTGCGTACTACCAGTCAGTAGAATCTGCGTTCGATCGCTGGTCCGAGGAACATCTAAATTTGAGAAAGTGGCCTCCCCTCGGCAGGCAATGGCGAACCTCCGAAAAAGCGGAGTAGTCAGAACGAAATTTAGTGGGGAGGGGGTGGGGGCTCGAATATATTACGCTAGCATTTGGAGGTAATATTTTTTATACATATAAGGAAATCTCGAGCCCTCCCTGTCTCTACCTAGCTACGCCCATACTCCGAAAGTATTTCTAGCTTGAGACAAGCTTTCTTTTAGAGCAGCTTGGTAGGTGAAGGAAAGGTTCTCCGATTTACATTCAGCTTGACTTGAGCTTTGGCCGTCAGATTCATACCTTAATTTAACCTCAGATATTTCACCTCTCCAAAAAGACTTAGATTAACGCCAGTAAATATAGGAACGTTGAGACTTTACAACTTTATTTTCCTTGTAGACCAGGACGGCCTTACAGGCGTTGAGTACTGAGATTACATTCAGAATTCGTTTTGTACATCCAAAGGTCACGCTAGAAGATTTTTCTGAGGCTATATTCTGCACCAGCATTATCTACATTGTAAGCTTGAATGTGGCCGAAGTCTTGCATTTGCGTTAGTATGGAGTCCACTACAAGGTCGAGTTTAGCTGATTTACGTATATCATTTTCCACTTTAGTATCATTGTTGTAGAGTACCCTGGAGGCTGTGCACCCAAACCTTTGTTCGAATGTGCCTTTCGGCCATGAATCCCAGCAAATGTAACAGGAAGGCCTTCGGATTAATTGAAAATCATTATTGGCGCAAATATCTAGCAGTAAAATGGTCTTAGATCCTTTAGATTTTCTTACAGAGTCAAGCTTAATTTGTATTTCTTGTCGAAGTACCTAAGGCAATCATACTATTCGACTTGGCTTTCTGCACGATATCCATAATCTCCCTCAAAGAAAGGGGGAATATAGAACCTTTTGGCAGGTAAGCTGAGACTGTAATGCCCTCGGTTCGACGATCACCAGTACAGTTCACAAATTCTATCAGCGTCAAACCTTCATCATATATATATATAATGCGTACATGCAGTCTTTCTGTTCCGGAAAATCGAAAAACGGCGTACCGCCTACTAAACCCTGTCTAAATCGGCTAGTCCCTCAATCGTTGTCGTCAAGCTCAACTAACGGGTGACCCAGAAAGCATGCAGCTTC